TGCGTTCACTAGCTTAATTCATCATAAATTTTGTATGAAGGGATTGAACAGCTTCCATCTAGTGGTCGTTTTTTGAAAGTGACCTAGCTGTTCAGTAAGCGATTTTCCCGCCAACACTCTTAAGTTTCCGTACTTAAGAATCATGCATACCTAGAGGTTGAGTCTGAAATATTTGTGTTGTACTTGGGCAGGGAAAATTTTCCTAAAAATTCAGCTTTCCAGCTTTGCAGGTTCTCGAGTTAGTGGTTTTTCGGACAAAACTTTCACATGCATGTACGTGATATCACATGTACCGGGGGCTAGATTTGAAATCTTTAAGTTAATGGACGGGGAATATACTCTTAAAATTTCAGCCTTCCAGCTTTTCTGGTTGTCCAGTCAGCAATTTTCCCGATAAAACTTTCACGTTCCCATACATGAATTTAACTATAAATTTGAAATCTTTAGCTCATACATGCACAGAGAATAACCCTGCAAAGTTTCAGCTTTCTAACCGTTCTGATTCTCGAGCTCGCTTTCCTGCCAAAAAATTGGCGTATTTTTTTAAAGCGTCCGTACGCGGGACCTAGGCATACTCGAATGATTATATTAAAACGGGAGGGTTGCACAGATAATGAGCACACACTTTCGAAGTTTCAATCTAGCATTTCTGGTTCTTGAGTTGAAAGTGGGTGGCAGAAAGTACAAACACACAGACACACTTATAAACACCTCTTGTCAGTGTGCGTTTTTGCATTTACGTATATGCAGAAACGCATAAAAAACTGATAATCATGCACGCTGGAGGTCCAAGAGGTCCCATAAAATTCAACACCTTCATCCCAGCCCACGCCCTTTTTCCTGCATGCGGGAAGGAATTAAAACACAGCTAATATGAGTCCATTTGTTACACTACAGCTTAGGGACCATTCCTGTTGTTAGCGACCTAGCGCAAAAACGCGCGGTAACACCGACAAACCTGGTGCATTACGGCTTGGATTTTGTGCTGAGCGCATAGCTATATCATCTTTACCACTTTCCTGCAGTACCACCCTCCAGTTTGATTGACAGTTCCCGTACGATTAGGCTTAGCCAGACAAATGCTGCGCATTGTCTTCATGACGTGTTTGGAGCTATCAGAGCTTACTTCGGCACTGCCTAATTCGTTACCAAATTCCATCATTTGCTGAGGTTCCCGAGAGATATGCTAAACATCGCTGTAAATTGCGGTTTCATAAGGGATCTTGTCATGGCAATTATATCACTGTAATGGCAAAAATGGGAAATAAAATGACGAATATGGTGCTGCGCACGTGTTGTAATTGAACCGTGATGGATAGTACACAGATGTTGTTAGTCCGGGACTGATAAGGATTGTTAGAAATAGAAGGAACCATTCGAGCTTAATATACAAAGATCTGATGCGCGTTTACCTGACTGTATACCGTTATTTGCTGATTGGCGCAAAAATGCATGAAAAACTATTGTTATTACCATATGAATCATGTTACGATTGGTACTTGCAGAAGAGTAACATTGCATTTGCTTTCAAGCGCGAGATTTGCGTTTTTTAACTTAATAACTATTATTGCAAATTCTTTATTCAACAACATTTCTAGCTCCAAATTCTGTTAAATGATCCCTCAGTATTTTGGGAAATTATCCCAGGATATCCTGTTCAAATTGTTGCTACGGTAGAGGCACTAGATTCGTCCGCGAATCTGAGAAGCAATCCGGCTGCGTCACATTTACGAAGTAAAGCACGTTTGCGTACATAACCAATATCGGCTGAAGGATATTTTATGGTGAACACGGGAACGCACTGGAAGTGTGACCTAAAAAATGGGCTTTGAGGAGTGTTTCATAATAGGTAACGTATTTGGAAAGATAAAGAGGGGTTGGGAGTGGGGAAGTGCATGTTGTAAAATCTCAACTCTTCAACGCCTTGAGTATACAGAAAATAAAATATGTCGAAAAAGTAATGAATATGTTTCGAGTTATCGATTTTTTAGTAGCATTCAGTATTTATACCAATCGTAGTGCCTTTTTTGGTACGTTGGTTTGTACCACTCCGTTTTATTATGCTTTTTGCATATTTGCGATGTAACCAGGTTGAAACGCACCAGGCTTGTCGGTGCGATCACACTTTTTTGCACCAGACTTGAGGTACCCAGGTCATTCACTGCATGAACAGTTGTTGCTTCAGCTTTTATGCTCACTAACGTAAATCACTGTAAATTTTGCATTAAATAAATGAGCAATTTCCATTTAACGGTCGTTCTTTGAAAGTAACCAATCAATTTAGAGAGCAATTTTTCCGTCAAAACTTTAATTGCCCAAACGTGAGAACCACTCATACCTGAAGGCTGAATTTGAAATCTTTAGCTCATAAATACAAAAGAATATCCCTACCGAGTTTCAGCCCCTTACCTTTTCTGGTTCTCGACATCGCTTTCCCGCCAAAAATTTAAATATATTTTTAAGACTTCCGTATGCGGCACCTACGCGTAGGCGGACGATGATATTAAAACGGAAGGGTCGCGCATGATGTGAGCACACAATCCCAAAGTTTCAGCCTTCTAGCTTTTCTGGTTCTCGAGTTGAAAGTGGGTGACAAAAAGTACAAATACACAGACATTTACACACACAGACAGCCTCTTGCCAATACGCGTTTTTGCATTTTACATGTGTGCAAAAACGCACATTGTGACGACCCATGGTGTGCTTGTGTTTGTGTGCGACTGTCAGGGTATTTCAATTCCGCAGCCACGAAACTTACGGCACCAAAATTTTCCAGCGTGTTTTTTGGCTAAGTGCTACCCCAAGACTGCGGTACCGACCCTCACGTACGTCTAGGTTCCCGCATACGAGCGCGTGAAAGGTTTGGCGAAGGAGAGGAGGGGGAGGGGGGGGGAAGACTCCCGCAATGGTGCATTTTTCCGAAAATAGGAGTCAGGATTTCCGGTCTACACCGATAGATTAACAGTTCTTGAGATGCCTCGGCCATTTTTATGCATTCTGTGGATAGAACTCATCTCAGACGCACTCAGTGTCGTGAATACCGATGAAATGCCGATCTCGGCTCCTAGAAGCTGTTTGGCTGAAGCCAGACAAACAGCTTCTAGGAGGCCGAGATCGACAATTCATCGGTATTCACGACACTGAGTGCGTCTGAGGTGAGTTCCAATAATCATTGCTTCGCCATATATTTTCGTGCGTGTATATACAAAATTTTTTAATCTGAAACATACTCCGAAAATCCTGGCCCAGGCACTTCATCTTGATGCGGGGATGGAAACGGATTAAGCAGTGTCGCAAAAGGACTAGTATAAACTCTGGCAGTTCCGAGTATGTCAAGGAAACACTTCACCGTTTTTAACGCAAAATGGAAAAACTCTTGGGTACTAACAAGCTGTTTCAGGACTATGAGATTTTTCCACGTTTTTTCAGGTTTTTGCCGTATCTGAAGCGTATTGGTTCGATTAATTTGACAAACGTATGGAAAGATTGATAGTGGCTTACTGCACGTGCCATAATAAATTCAGTAATTCACTCAACTTCTAGGAAAGGAGTACGCCGTTTAGGTTTGCTTCTCAATTGCCTTTTGCGCCAAACCTCCCAAATTGCTTAGGCGTTTTTCAGCATTTTGTGTGTTTTTTTCTACAAATTGGCGCTTACTGATTAATTTTATTGCCTTTTTGCCAATTTCTGCGTTCGCTTTACTATTTTTTTTTAAAATTTTGCATTATTTCTGGATCAGTTCGGCGCTCTCTGGCTGATTTAGGACCTTCTCTAGTTGCACCCGTTTAAAGAAGGTGCTGGACATATTCGTTCTCTGATGCGCCACGAGCACAACTATTCATGGATGTGGCATATTTAGATTGAATTGATGAACTACCTGAGATATGATCAAAATCGTCCCGCCTCAGGCGGAAAAGTGAACTAAACCTACTTGAAGCATCGCAGATGCCCTTCGGACAGTTCGCCTTCGCCGGCAACACGGATTTCCATCATTTGAGTACGATCACCCCATTTTCTTAATCTCCAGCTCTGAAACATCTGTCTAAAATATTCTTCAGGGAATTAGCTTTCACTGAAGAAAAGGCGAAGAGAAGGACCGGGACAGAGTGAGTAGAACTGAAGTGTGGTGAGGGTGGCCTTCTAGTTATTTCTGTGCCAAATATCTCAGAAACATTTTTATATTCAGAACCATTTTCACTTCTTTACGTCAGTAATGAAAACCAAAAACACATTAACTGGAGGTTCTTCGCGTACGTGTGTGTGCCCGTGCGTATGTATGTACGTATTTGTTTGCTTGCATGTGTTCGGACTTTGTCAACCATTTTGGATATAGAAACCAAAGAAGCTAGAAAGTTTCCGATTTCCGATGAGGATGTTTCCGATTTTTGAAGTAATCTAGCTTAAAATTTTTCTATTTATTTTTGTGTCTTTTTCGTGAAATTTTTGCACAAATCTAATTGGATTCTTAATTTCTACAGAGAATTTTGTGTTTCTTTGGCCAGATATTATGTTAAATAGTGGATTCTCCTGTCTTTCAACCACACTACATACCTTTTGACAAACATTGCAGCTGGTGTAAAAACAAATTGGCAAATGCTTCATGCCAATACTGGATGCCTTGTGACGTATTTACGTTTCTGTTTTTCACGGTGCAGGATTACGGAGCGAAAAACGCATAATTTTTTAGGGAGTGCCAGTAACTGGATACAAAAAGGTAGCATAAGGACCAGTATCGAATTTTGGATTTTGTGCGG